AGTGAATTTGAGTGAATTGGGTGAATTTGAGTGAATTTGTCAATGAGTGAATTTGAGTGAATTGGGTGAATTTGAGTGAATTTGAGTGAATTTGACTACCGTCTTGCCCTAACAGGATGTCCCCTAATTATGAATGCATCGGACTGGAAAGGTGGCTTGTATACATCAATACAAGGGGTGTGTTCGGGACGAAGACCATAGTTCAGGACCTGGTGCAAACAGTAGAAAGAAAGCCTTACCAACGGGCCTACTGTCTTCACCCGAGAACGCCTGGTTATTATAGCTGTATCTAGACTGAAAGTTGTGCCATATACAGCCATAATGACCGGGCGTTCTATTAGGGTGAGGACCATAGCTCAGTTGGTACACCTCAGAGTCTGCCCAGATATCGTCAGACGCAGAATAAGGGGCAGATCTCACTTCTTTCCGTTTTTGTAGTAGTAGCATGTTCGTACCTAGCTCCCGAAGTCCCTGTGCAATCAGGCTTGCACGGCGTCTGCTTCAACCGGGGCTGAGCAGGGGGTAGGAGTCTCTGCTTAGCCCCAGTACCTGCAACTGCTGTCTGGTCAGCTCACCCCGCCAAGATGGCCATGGGTGATGGTCCTGGGTGGTTAACACTAGGGTAGGACAGGGGGGGTGCGGGTGCGGGTGCGCCAGGGCAAAAAGATGAGAGGAAGGGTGGGTGGGGTCTTCAGAGGAGTTCATCTCGACAACCGAGTGGCCGAGTACTGTGGGTGACTGACATCCGTCTAGTATCCCACCTCTACAACAACCTGGCCTTTTATAATAGGAATAATAACAATAATAATAATAATAATAATAAAAATGTAAAAGTGCCGCGAAAGGTGGAGGCGCCGCGCACGGAAGGTGAAAGAAAAACGCGACCCCACATGCCCTACTTCTGCGGGACTTTTCCTAACGGAGCGGCACTATCTTGTGGCTCCTCGAGGATCCAACGGCCTGCACATCAGGGGGAAAAAAAAGGAAGAAAAAAGCAAGGGCTCCTTCTTTCACGGTGCAGGGTACAGGGGTGGCTTCTTTTGATTTTGAAAGAACTATGTGTCCTCAAATCGCGCTTGCACTGCCACATGCTAGGCTGTTTCCACTTCTTCGAAAAAACAGGGCCACCTCCAGCTCTCGCGGAAAGAGGTGGGATCCCAAAATTTACCAAAACGTGCCTCGCCTATAAGAAGTGGGATCAGGCCCTAAGAGCATTCTAAGTTGCCTGGGGCCGGTCAGTTCAATACTGCGTCGCCTTTTTCTTTAAAAAAGGGACAAAAGGGAAACGGGATAGTTTGCAAAATACCCCCATAAGTTGAGATATATGCCAAAATGCTTCTAAAAGATGTGGGTAGAGCCTTTGACAAAAAAAATAGTTTGTGAAATGCCCCTACCATCGGTTGGACTCCCATCTTTGCAACATACCCCTACCGGGTACCGTCCAACATTGCAAAACGCCCCAGTACAAGGCGCTATTGCGAAAGGCCAAGGCCTAAACGGGGCGGTCCAGATTGCAAAGTTGCACACCCGCCTGACAGGGGCACAACACAAAGATTTCGTCCCAAAAGGGCATTCCGCTGTACTCACATCTCTCAGGGCCATTTTGGCATATATCTCAACTTATGGGGGTAATTTGCAAATTATCCCAAGGGAAAAAGGAACAGAGGGGGAAAAAATCAGAAAGGAAAAAGAGAAAGAAAGCTTTCAATCCCACATGTTATCTATACCTTTCCATAAGCAATTGGTTTCATGATGATGTATAGAGAGGGGAGGGGGTGGGGTGGGGTGGGGGGGTGGAGGAGAGTTTGGTTCTCTATTCTTTGCTCGGAGAAGAAGGCAACGGAAGAGGGACATTGGACAACTTCCACCCCCTCCCCTCCCCTCCCTCCTCCAACAACAACCTGGACTTTGTCAGCAAAACAAAAAAAAAAGAAGGCATTGTACAACTCTTTAAAGTAGTACAGCTCTGGATATCTAGTGAGTGATGTATGGCGAAGACCAGGCAGAGGTATGAGACACTGCGGAGCCTCAAGGAGGCCGTTGACAATGACGCTGTGCATCCCCTACTGTGCGGCTAGCGGACAAAACAGGCGTCAGTTTGTAGACAAAAGGGATAGTTAGGTGAGGTGCAGCTAGCGGAGAAAAACAGGCATCAGTTCCTTAACAGAAGGGGCAGTTAGGTGAGGGCTCAGTTGGTACACCCATGAATTGTTGGAACGCAGACCTGAGTTTGGACCCGGATGGAACCGCATGAGTAGAAGTAAAGTGAGTGGGTTTCTTTATTGGTTTTATCGTAAATTAAACTTAGTCTACAGGGACTTCCTAAAGTCGTTCCCACTTTAGGAAACGCACAGGTCACTACAGAACGTAACAGAAGCGCCCAAATTCATCCAACTGGAAATGTTTCTACTCTATTTTGTTTTCTGCGGCCAATGGCTGTGCCAACCAGTACTTCCTGAAGTTGTGCCCGGTTTTAGGAAACGTACGGGCCACTACAGAAGCGCCCAAATTCACCGATTAGAGGCGTTTCTACTCTATTTGTCTTCCGCAGCCCAAAGCTGGGACAAGTACTGCTGGTTTAACAATTGGTAATGGATTCATCTTGAACCTTTGTTCCCTGTGAAAAGACAGTAGAAGGACAGAGTGCAAGATGGGGATGATGGAATGGCCCCCTGCAGCAGTGAGCAAGACTGAGCCTTTCCCCCTGCAATGGGGGTCATAGGGTTATGGTGATAGACTTCCCCCCCTCTGCCTAGAGCAGCCGAACTCCGAACCGCCAAAGCGTGGGCCAACACAGAGGGATAGAGAATCAAACTCGGGAAGGCACAAGGGGGAACCTAGTGGGTGATTTCATATGACTGGGGCAAGGAAGTTCGAAAACAAAGGGCACTAGACCCTGTCTCCAGCAGGTGTTGCTTCCAACCAATAGAATGGAGCCTTCATAATCGGGCCTAAACTGAGATAGGTGCTCATATAATCACCTCAAGTTGGGCACACTCAGCGAAGTAAAAGAAGCTATAAATACCCCCTGTGGCAAAACTTTTCTTTTGTTCGCCTCCAAATGGGAAAAAAAGTGTGGAAGGGCCTAAAACGAACCTTCGTGTCACTTTTGCACCCCCGTAGGGCCTTAAAGAAAAAACTCTAAGTGGAAATTGCTTCCATTTTTGCACCTCAGGCCCCACTGCAGTTACATGCGCAACCAGGGTGCAAAAAGGACATGCAAGTTTCTTTTAGGCTCTTCCACACTTGTGGCCATGTTTGGGAGCGAACTCAAAAGGTTTTGCCGTGGGTCGAATTTAGTACTTTTCCCTTGTTCTCGCTGTTGTACCTTTAAGTTTACTCCCTTGCCCTTAATGTCTGCCTCTGTTTCTTTCTCTTTGACTCTCCTTATCGTCCTTCTTTTTGTTTTCTCGTTTTTTCGGCGCCAGTGCCATGGTGTGAGTTTCGAAATGCGAAAGTTTCAGCGGGGGTCTAAACTGAGATAGGTGCTCATATAATCACCTCAAGTTGGGCACCCTCAGCCAAGTAAAAGAAGCTATCAATATTGGAAGATCTGCTTTCTATTTCGTTCTCTCTTTATGGTCTATTTCTGATTGACTCTTGTTTTAAACCACCAGTACACCTGACCCTCTTTTCCCGAACCGACTCGCCCCCTGCGCGCCATATTCTTCCGAGCCTATTTCTGAAAGGTACCGGTAGTGGGAAATCATGAGTGGCACCGGTGCCAGTTCGTTGTTGTATTTGAGGCTGGACTCGGCCTGCCAAAGTCGGACATTCGAGATGCCTTTTCCGTACGGCACCGCAATGTGAACCGTGTGGAAGTTTTTTTTTTTTTTTTCTCATTTTCATTGCGTTTGGACTTCTGGAGCGCGTACCGGCTGACCTGCTGCCAACCAACTCCTCCCTCTATCGGTCCCTAGGGTGATCATGCTATGTGGCATGGAAGTGACTGTCCGCCGTGTCCGGTGTCGGCCGTCATCATCACGGTCATCAACCTACGTGGCATGCCACTGGAATCGACATCCCCTACAGTTGTACATGGGGATGCCTTCGAAACGTGATGAGCGTTCGGCGGGGAAATTGGGAGGGGCGCTTCCATGGGGAATCGGGTGCCGCAAGGGTGAGAAGCGGGCAGGGGCGAAGCGGGGGGGCTGAAGGGAAAATGTTTCCGAGACCGGTAGGGCC